GTGCAAGCATTATACCATACAGGCAGTTAATTTAGAATGTACTTGTGCCTCCACACCAGCATGGATAATGATGCATGGAATCACAAAATAGCTGAGGTTAGAAGGGACCACTGCATATCATCTAGTCCAGTACCTACACCTGTGCACCTCCATTCAAAATCTGTTAAAATGGGTATGCAGCATTTTAAGCTGCTCATCATCTTTGTCCTGCCTTTGAATTACAGCATGCATATAAACCATTGCCACAACTTTGAAGTGTGACTAGGACTCAAGAACCCCAAGACACTCAAGCTGAGTTAATTACTTCACCCACACAATATGCAGTGCTTAAGGCTGAGGCTTTGATAAGCCCTTCCCAAGGTCCCTAAAGTCCAATTTGGGCTTTAGGAGCTGTTGGAGACTTAAGAGTCATTTTGTCTAGTTCTTCTACTGGAAATTCAGTGTATTTAAATTTTGTAAAGTATTTGAAAGAAACAAAACACTTCTTTCTAATAAGAAACAAAGACCCACGTGCAGTTTGAAAGGGCTATGGCTATTCATGGTAGCAAAAGATCTGTTCTCTAGGTTGAAGGGATGGATGCATACCTTCAGTTCCCTGGTTTACAAGGAACAAGTAGGGGCTGTTATGGTTACAGTCTTTTCCTGGCTGGGGGCTGTGGTGGGGATTTTCTTCTGGTTTGGTTTCTTGGGGTTGGGGGAAGGGGGTGTGTTTTGTGTTTGGTATTTTTTCTGTTGGTTGGGTTTTTTGGATGCGTAACATACATGCAAGTTTGCAACCAGAATGAACAGGTCTGTTCTCTGCCTTCATGTGATTATTTCTATAAATGGGCAAGCATTTGTAACTGATTGGTAGACTCATATAGAATTACTATTTTTTTTAGTACTATGCCAGTCAACTGAATTGGGCATGGGACAGGTAACATTATTGCCTAACCACTTACATATGGTCAAGGGTGCTGCTCCTGACATAGACTTTGTGCTGTTCTATGTATATTTGATGAAGTAATGGATAGCTCATGCATGTTCTCCCAAAGGTTTGAGTCTATGACTTGTGCCTGCAGGTGCAGTGGCTTTTCCAGAGCTGTTGGCTTAGTCTGCATTTGAAACATATAATCCTTTGCATTTGGATCTGGTTTTCAATATATATATACATGTGTGTGTATATATATATATATATTTGTAATTCCCACCGTAAGTTTTAAGGGATTAAAAGTTCTAAGCTTATATATTGTAGGAATCTAAAGTAATGGGCTCTTAAAGGGCAGGGGAGGGAAAAATCCCATCTGTAAGCAATAAGGTATTTCAGAATAATTTTTGTTGCCTTCTGTGTATGAAAATGAGTACCATACTATTTGCATTGTAAACAATTTGATGTCATGGTTCATATGCACAGTGCTTGCTGATTCTGGTAAAGCACTATTTTCTCAGATAGGCTTAATCTGATTTTCCAAAGGGATAAATGATACCCTGGGAACCTAATAGTAACAATCTGGGAAGGCACAAGAGATTATGCAGAAA